TCAGTCATGTCCAACGTTTTGCGACACTATGGACTGTAGCCTGACAGGCTACTCTGTCCATGGGATATTCCAGACAAGAGTACTGGAGTGGGTTGCCATTTCCTCCTCCAGGGGGTCTTCCCGACTCGGGGATGGATCCCATGACTCCTGCGTTGGCAGACCTTTCTCTGTCTCTGATATAGTCCCTCTCAATCCTTATTATTGCTGTAACTGACTGTTAGTTGCTCAGTTGTGTCTGACACTTTGTGACCCCATGAGCTGTAGCGTGCCAGGCTCCTCTGTCCATGGGATATCCCAGGAAAGAATACTGGAGTGGGTTGCCCTCTCTGACTACTAAGATATTTTAAAAATATTTATCTGTATTTATTTATTTGACTGCACTCACTGGGTCTTTGTTGCAGCATGTGGGATCTTAGATCCTCATTGTGGCCTGCAGGCTTTCTTAGTTGTATCCTGTGGGACCTAGTTCTGTGACCAGGGATTGAACCTAGGCCCCTTGCATTGGGAGCTTGGGGTCTTAGCTACTGGACCACCAGGGAAGTCCCTATTATGCTTTTTATTTTTAAAACTTACACATACTTGGAACAGGTGCAGACATTGAAGAAATCCCACTTTCCAAAAGATTACCACCACCACCACCACGAGCAGGTGGTCATATTTCCTTAAAGACATTTTTCCCCCCCAGACATATACAAATTATCAGAGTGTATTTTAAAAACAGAACAGGTTATTTTTTCCCAGCACTGTCTTTTTTCACATGATAGTACATTTGAGCATCTTGCTAAGCAGGGTCTGATCCTGTTCCAAGCTGGATTTAAATTGCATCTGTGCTGTCAGTCCATTGTGGATCAGCACTGATTACAGAATGTAAGCACCGCGTGCACTCCATGCCCTCATGTTTCCATAAAGGCGCTCCCAATGACAAGAGTAGACGTGCTCCACAGGGGTGTGGGTGGAGCCGCAAGCGCCTGACGCACCTGCCAGTTAGCTTTGAAGTCAGATGTTTATTTTACATTCTTGTTTTATTTGAATTCATTATCTATCACCAGGTAAAACTGATAGTTTAGAGAAATGCATTCTTTTTAGCCTGTGGCTTTGTGTTCCATAGTGTACATGTGGCCTGAGGAGAGATGCAGGAAGTGTGTTGAGGAAAATCAGCATTCTGGGTGGACAGATAAAGAACTGTCTCCATCAGGGGTAGGGGACTTCTCAGTTTTGAGTGATTGGAGTCATGGAGTCCTTTCTGGACCTTGTCTTTTCTTCCGGTTTTCAGTTTATTCCAAAAATGATTGCCATTAGGGATTACCCCTCTAGGGCAATCAGCCTATAAAGCTGTCAGTTGCTATACTAATACCCACTAGATCCATTGGCCAAATTGTTTTTATCATGGAAAGCAGAGCCAGAAAGCCAAGTCAGCCTGTATCATTTTGGAGCTTGTAGGCTGATGACATATTTAGATAATAATAAAAATATCTAATAGTGATAGAGGCTTACTATGTGCCAGAATCTTCCTTTACCTGTATTTTACCCTTGAGATTCAGAGAGATCAAATAGCTTGCTCATAGTCAGCACAGCCTAGTAGGTGTTGGAAACTGTGATTATATGTGTACACCTGTGCAGGTATGTGTCTCTGTGTGCACATGTGTGTGTGGTATAGGGTATGGTACAAGAGAAAAGTACTTCCTTTTCTTTGCAAAACTATGCTGTGGATCAGATGTGGCCTACCAGAGATGATTATTGAGCATCACAGACTTGGATTACCTGCCTGGTGTGAGTTACATTTTGATGTTCATGCAAATGCCTGCTGGTTTCAACCATCCCAAGTGGCCTGAAGTCAAAGGGTTACCTCTTTCTGGAGACCTTCGGATTCCCATCAGTGTTGTTTGTCAGCTGAGAGAGCTATGTGCTGGAATGGCTTGATTTCTCTATGGCCAGCATGACTGGCAATGAGCTTTGAAGGTTTCATGCAAAGTTGGTCATGTAAGAGGGAGTGATATCTCTGGGGGTCAGGTCACATCTCTCCCTGGGGTCACTGGAGCCAGAACTTGCCCAGAGAAGAGTTAGATGGAGAAGGATCTCGAAACCAAATCTTGTGGCTGAAAGGACTGGATTGTTTAGTGCAGAAGAAAGAACATTCAGGCTGATGAAGAGCAAAGAGAATTCTGCTACAGTCCCTGAGGGTACCCTGGGTCTGTTAGATAGGGGTTCTGAGGAAGAACTGTTTAAGTCTGTTATCAGGAAGTCAGAGGTGTTAGGTAGCAAAATGGGGTACCTCAGAGGAAGGCAGTGGTGAGAGTGGAAGCACTAATGTGTGTTCCAAATGGGCTGTCACCTTTATGGGGAAGATGTTACCCTCAGGCTGGGTGTCCACCTGCCAGGTATATTGTTGGGTGAGGAGGTTCCTTCATAGGCTGGCAGGTTGGATGTCAAAGGTCTTTTACAATCGTATCCAACCATGGGCTTCTTGGATGCAGGGTCCACAGAGGCTGCCCTGTGGACCAGTGCAGACCAGGTTGGGGGGTGTGTATTAGTTTACTGGGGTTGCTGTAAAAACAAAAAAAGTACCACAAGTCAAGTGACTTAAACAACAGCAACATGTTGTCTCCTGATTCTGGAGATTGGAGGTCCAAAGTCAAGGTATTGACAGGATTGGTTCCTTCTGAGAGCAGTGAGGGCAGAGTCTGTTTCAGACCCATCTCCTTTCTTTGCTTACATGGTGTGCTCCCCGTATGCATGTCTGTCTCCCAATTTTCCCTTTATATAAGGACACCAGTCATTTGGGATTAGGACCTACCCTAATGACCTCATTTTACAAACTGTGGAAAATTCTTAAAGAGATGAGAGTACCAGACCACCATACCTTTCTCCTGAGAAACTTGTATGCAGATCAAGAAGGAACAGTTAGAACTGGACATGGAACAATGGGCTGGTTTCAAATTGGGAAAGGAGTAAGTCAAGGCTGTATATTGTCACCCTGCTTATTTGACTTACATCATGTGAAACTACATGTATCAGAGTACATCATGTGAAAAGCCAGGCTGGATGAATCACAAGCTGGAATCAGGATTGCAGGGTGAAATATCAACAACCTTAGTTAGATATACAGATGATACCACCCTAATGGCAAAAAGTGAAGAGGAACTAGAGAGTCTTTTGATGAATGTGAAAGAGGAGAGTGAAAGAGCTGGCTTAAAACTCAGCATTCAAAACACTAAGATCATGGCATCTGGTCCCATCACTTTATGGCAATTAGAAGGGGAAAAAGTGGAAACAGTGACAGATTTTCTTTTCTTGGGCTTCAAAATCACTGTGGCCGGTGATAGCAGCCAGGAAATTAAGGTGATTGCTCCTGGGAAGAAAAGCTATGAAAAACCTAGATAGCGTATTAAAAAGTAGAGACATTTTTTTGCCAACGAAGCTCCAAAGGTCCATATAGTCAAAGTTCCATTTTTCATTACTGTGTAGAGATGTGAGAGTTGGGTCATAAAGAAGGCTGAGCACTGAAGAATTGATGCTTTTGAACTGTGGTGTTGGAGAAGACTCTTGAGAGTCCCTTGGACTGCAAGGAGATCCAACTAGTCAATCCTAAAGGAAATCAATCCTGAGTATTCATTGGAAGGACTGATGCTGAAGCTGAAGCTCCAATACTTTGGCCACCTGATGCAAAGAGCTAACTCATTGGAAAAGACCTTGATGCTGGGAAAGATTCAAGGCAAAAGGAGAAGAAGGTGGCAGAGGATGAGATAGTTTGATGACATCATCGACTCAATGGACATGAATTAGAGCAAATTCCAAGAGATGATGGAAGAGAGTGGGGCCTGGTATGCTGCAGTCCATGGGTTGCAAAGAGTCAGACATGACTTAGCGGCTGAACGACAAACGCTGCTATAAAGACCCTATTTTCAAATAAAGTCACATTCTGAGATACTAGGAGTTAGGACTCCTATGTATACATTTTAGGGGGACAGAATTCCACCCATAACAGGGACAGGTTGTGCTCTCATGAGTGTGTGAGGCTGTGGGCTGGGCGCTCTGGGTGCTGCTTTGACTCTCTGTTTTTTTCCTTTGGTGTTGTTTTTTAATGGCAGGATAAAAAACAACACATTTTCCACTTCTTTCCAGAATATATCACAGTAGGATCAGGCCATGATAATAGGGTGAAATAAACATCATGTGGCATTAAGTACATTGTCATTGTGTGTGACCATCACCACCATCTGTCTTTCATCTTTTCAAACTGAAACTCCATGTTCATTAAAGAATAACTCAGTCCTTGGCAACCAGCTTTCTTCTCTCCATCTCTATGAATCTGACCACTCTGGGGAATCTGTGTAAGTGGAACCATACAGGTTTGTCTTTTCATGATTGTCTTATTTCAGTTAGCATCATGTCCTCAAGGTTGCTCCATGTTATAGCATGTGCCAGAAGTTTTGTTCCTTTATACGGCTGTATAAATATTCTGTTCTATGTATAAACACATTTTATTTACCTACTCATCCACTGATGGACATTTGGGATGTTTCCACCTTTTGCCTATTGTGAATAATGCTGCTGTGGACATGGATATATAGACTTCTTAAAAATTTTTGTGATTAAACATGTACATTTCTGTTATAGGAAAATCCAACATAGAGTCAAGTAGAAAGCACCTTCCCACCCCTCCACCACTGTGTATAACTTGGCCTCTACTCCTCTAGCTGTATTTTGAAATCAGATCATCCTGTACTGTAATGGAACATGAGCCATTTAAAAAAATGTTTGAATTCTCTGAAACTATTCAGTAGTTTGCTAAAGAAGGAAAGCATAAAACAAGCAGGAAGGTGGTGAGACCCTGTGATGGACCCGGTGGAAGCTGGTCTTTCCCCAGCATCACCTGTGTGATTTGTGCCATCATTCCCATTGCTAAGGAGGCGACGGAGGCTCTGAGAAACCCCAGGTGATCTGGCTCCTTCTGCCCCAAATGCAGGTTTATAACTGGCCTCTCCTCTCGTCTCTCCCAGGCAAATGTCTGCAGACTACGGCTGACTGTACCTCCCGAGAACCCAGTGCCTGAGCCGAGTGAAAATAAGGTTGAAAGAAGAGAGCAGGTAAGCCATCTCGGAGGCGAAGTCTTGACCAGTTCCCCCCTTTTTGTTGTTGCTGTTTTACGCTGTGCAGCATGTGGGATCTCAGTCGCTCGACCAGAGTTTGAACCCGTGTCCCCTGCAGTGAAGCGCAGAGTCTTACCCACTGGGCTGCCAGGGAAGTCCCTTCCCTCTTTGTACCCTTTTATTTGAACCCCCTTCCCCTGTCATCCTCCATCCAGGCTGTTCACAGAGCCTGCACGTCAGCAGCTGTGTGATGAAAGGCCCCCCCTCCAGAAATCAGGCTGCTCTGCCTGGCCGGCTGGGTGGCCTCGGGACCCTGCTGTCGCTTCTAGGTGAATGCCGGCTGTGTGTTGCCTTGCAACTCTCGGAGCGCTGGCTTTGGTGACAGAAGCAGTGGCAGGGGACGGGTTTTTCCTGAAAGAGCCCCAACCAGTTGAGTCAAAGGGCCCATTGTGAGCTGTGGCGGGGCCTGAGCCTTTCTCTGTGGCTGGAGCCAGAGGCTCTTGGGGTGGGGGTGCTGCCTGGAGAGGAATGGTCCCAAAGCAGCTCTGGCAAGGGCACCCGGCTGCAGGGAGGAGGAGCCGAGCAGGCATTTTTGTGCCAGCTGCTCTGTAAGTGCTAGGCCACAGAGATAAGTCTGACCTTGGCCTTGCCTTGAGGAGCTGACAGATTTCCAGGTGAGACAGACATATAAATAAACCAAGCTGACGTGATAGTTCGAGTGTTAGGATCCTGAAGTGTAAGCAGGGCTCAGGGAACATGGAGAATTGGGCTGTATCAAAGGACCCAGAGCCTGTTTGAAAGGGCTCTCACTGGTAAAAATGGAAAAATTTCAAAATCAAAAGAATTAATGACAATGATGAATTATGACACAGTGAATACTAAAAAAGCCCTCATGGGTATATAGTAATAAATTATAAAAGGGAAAGCTCTTTTTTTTTTTTTTTTTAAATATAACATCAGCTGATAAATTTAGAAAATTTCTTGTTTTGTAACCCCTATGCCAGGTCATCAATGAATGTAAAAACTAGTTGGTGAGAGATTACCGTGGAGCAGTATATTGATGTGGGCTTAGAGTATGACCTCACTGATCACTTATGGACTCTAGAGGAACAGTGTCACAGTATGACAGCCAGTAGTTCTACCAGGCAATCCGATTTGGCTTTACCAGGACTGGGCAGCCTGGTATTCTGTGACTTCTGGTATGATGCAGTTAAGAAGTAAATAATGTTACCTGTAATATTCATGCCAAACTTGTGTAACTGAATCTAGTAATAAGGAGTCAGAAAAATCCGAAATGTGACATTGTCTATAAAAAAGTTAGCCAGACTCCCTTAATAAATTTAATGTTATTTAAAAAAAAAAAAATCTATTGGAGATAAAAGAGATGAGAGACTTAACATTATTATAATGAATTAAATGTTGATTAAATCCTGGGTCCTATATATATATATACACACACATATATGTATCTTTTGATACCATATCAAAGTTGTACAATTTTGAATATAAACCCATATATTACATATTATTAAATAATGGTACTTTTCTTACTCATGATAATGATACATTGATGATATATCTTAACTATTCTTTCAGCTTCTCTGTATCTTTGAATATTTTCCAAAGAAAAAGTTTAGAGGTAAAAGATCATAGGCAGAGTGCGTGGAGGTGTTCAGGCCTTGGCTGCTGAACCCCGGCTGATGACCGGGGGCCTGTGTTGCTGGAGGTGTGGGTCCCCTCTGCCCTCACTGACCCCCTCTCTGTCCATCCTTTCAGAGCTGATAGACTGGTCAGAGGAGTGGCCCTGGGCTGTGTCCAGAGGCTCATGGGCAGCTCAGCACATGGGGAGTCAGAACGAGTGCTTGCTGGAGAAGGAGCCCAGGCTGGGGCAAGTGACAGGACAAGGGCCCCGAATGCATGGTAGAGGCAGTGGGGAATTGGGTCTGTTGGTGTTAGCTCTGAGCTGCACGCCTGGGGAGATGTTTGTGAGGGGCCCCTGCATGCTAACACTGGGACGGTGGGTGCTGTGAGGCACCGGAGGGCGTGCCACTGCTCAAGAAGAGTCAAGTATTACCTAAGAAAGTGGCAATCTGTTCTATGTCACGGGCATGTTGGTCTTCATGTTGTGTCCCGATTTGTCTGTTGACCTTGAACAGTGCTTTTCAAGCTTTCAAAGACAGTTAGACCCTCCTTTTTTTTTTTTTTTAATCAAAATGTCATCCTGAAGCCTCATGCAATCCAGGTGAAAGTGGTACTGGTGGGGGCCAGAGTCCTCCCAGTTTCCCTGCACCCCAGAACCCTCCTCCCCAAGAACTCCAGGAGCACAGGGCAGAGACTCCAGGGAGAGACTGTGCCAGGATGCTTCGGGCCTCGCGGCAGACCAGGTGTGCAGCCTGCGTGCCAATCTCTGATGCATTGGTGACTCACTGCAGAAAAACTGGGGTAGAGAGGAGGAGGGTGGGGCCGGCTCTTACCCCAGAACCGAAGTCCTTGGGTGGTGGCAGCACTTGAAGGTCCGGTGGTAACTGTGAGGCTGATCTGGGTGATTGTCACCATGTCCTGGCTGAGTGCCTGGTCTTGAGTCACTGGGACCCAGAGGTGGGCACCAGTGAGGAGGCCCTAGGGCTGCTAGCTCCCCTGATGTGCTTCGGTGTGGCTGCTCCTCTCTGTGACATCGTACGTAGTGGCTGCTCCTCTCTGTGACATCGTACGTAGTCCACAGAATTGCAGGATACCAAGAACACTGGCGAGGTGACTTTTTCCTTTGGTTCCTTTGTCTGTGGTGTGACAGTTGGGGGACTGAAGCTCGCTCAGATAAAGAAGCTGTAAATGGCCTGATAGGATGCTGATAAAGCGAAACTTCTCAGAGGATTTCCGGGGCTCTGTTAGAGAGGGAGCCCACTGAAGGCAGAGCTGGGTCTTGTTCTTTTTCGCAGTCAGGGAAGATGCGCAGAGTTTTTTTTTTTTTAAATATTGATTTATTTTTGGCTCTGCTGGGTCTTCATTGCTGTGCGGGCTTTTCTCTGTTTGTGGCAAGTAGGGGCTACTCTCTAGTTGTGGGGTGCAGGCTTCTCATCACAGTGGCTGCTCTTGTTGGGGAGCATGGGTTCTAGAGCCTTTGGGCTTCAGCAGTTGCAGCACGTGGGCTCTAGAGCACAGGCTCAGTAGTTGTGGCACATGGGCTTAGTTGTCTTGCGGCATGTGGAGTCTTCCTGGATCAGGTATCGAATCCACATCTCCTACATTGACAGGTGGATTCTTTACCGCTGAGCCACCAGGTAAGCCCTGCATAATGTCTTTTGAGGACCTGAGGAAGCTATAGGGCAGCTGGCTGCACATAAGCACCACTGCTAGCTGGGCCATTTTGTCTGCTGGCCCTTCATTAGGGAGAGGAGTTACTCACAGGGCAGTGGTGGAAGGCTGTGGCAGGTGGTGCATGTTGCCCGGCTTCAGGATGGGGTGTTTGGAGGCTTCTGGAGGCAATGACAACTGAGGCGGCGTCTTCCTCTGGAGTCATGGGTTCCTCAGGCGGGTGTGGAAGGCTTCCTGCTCCCAAGGCAGGTGCTGGGGCGCCTGTTCCTCTTAATCTTTCTCAAATGGAACATCCCACCTGCCCCAAACCTGCCTTCCCCAGTCCACCAGATGACTGCCAGACACTTTGTTCCTCTGCTACTAGTTTCCTCACCTTTCAAGTAGGCACATGAAAGCCTGGTTGCAAAGAGCAACTGAGTTGGAGTATGCAAAGGTCCCCCAGCAGCGTCTGGCCTGTAATACTGATTAGAGAAAAGTGAAAAGTGAAAGCCGCTCAGTCATGTCCGACTCTTTGTGACCCCATGGACTGTAGCCCACCAGGCTCCTCTGTCCATGGGATTCTCCAGGCAAGAGAACTGGAATGGGTTGCAATTCCTTTCTCCAGGGAATCTTCCCGACCCAGGGATCAAACCCATGTTTCCCTCCTAGCAGGTGGATTCTTTACTGTCTGAGACACAAGGGAAGCCCACTGACTAGAGAGGCGATGACTAAATGTCAAATGCTTCCCCTTGACTGTCAAACCTAGTGGCCCTGGTTCTTCACTTTTCTCCCCTGTCCCCTGGAGAAGTCATTCTCCTTTCTGAAATTGCCCATCCTTCATCTCCTCCTTGGGCTGTGCCTGCTGCATCTTTTCGGATATTATTACGTCCTCCTCTGAGCATCCCTCTGCCAATACACCTGGGCCTGGCTTTCTCTGCACAGACCTCACCTCAGAGAACTCCTCTTCAGTGATGATACCCGCCTCATATGTCAACCTTGCTCTCTCAAGCCCTGTCCTACTGGTGGCCATCCCGGTGTTCAGTGTTCTTTACATGGTGTTTCTTTTATGTACAGATATTTTATTGCTGTTTTACCATTATTTTTGTATTTAAAAATATGAAATCCAGTCTATGCCCATACCACCCGAACGTGCCTGATCTGGTCTAAAAGTATGAAATCTGGGTCATTTGTGTGCACAGATATGGGTGGCTCAGTGGTAAAGAATCTGCCTGACAGTGTAGGAGATGTGGATTCGATCCCTGAGTCAGGAAGATCCCCTGTAGTAGGAAATGGCAACTCCAGTATTCTTGCCTGGGAAATCCCACGGACAGAAGAACCTGGTGGGCTACAGTCTATAGGGTCACAAAGAATCAGATGTGACCGAGCACCCATACACATCCCATATTATAGTTGAGGAAACTGAAGCACAAAGAGATTAAATAACTTACCTGAAGTGATACAGCCCTAGTCTATGGGATCTCAAGGAGTCAGACATAACTAAACATGCACACAGATAACCAGGAAGTGCTCGGCTTGATTGGAACGTAGGTAACTCAGAAAATGTTCTGACCCTGTGAGAACAAAGCATCCCATGCATCTCACATGCCCATTTCCTGATGACCAGTGAGAACGAGCGTCTTTTCTGTTATTTGTTCCTCATATGTATCCCCTTCAGAGCGATGTACTTCAAAGGGACTGATGGCGTC